TCATGCTCTATAATGAAATGCTTATAAAGAGCACTTTCTTCACGTGATTTGACCTAAATTATGGAGCAACTTGCATTTCTTTCATTACAATAGTCAATTTAGCATGGGTCTCTGCGCGCCTTATCAATCCTCGTCCCACAACAAATGCCAGCCAATACAGAAATTATGGGTATGTTTGTTTAAATTTTTAAAAGTATTTTTGTAATAAAATTAAATAAACATTTTTTTATTTATTATTTTGTTTGTTTAAATTCTTTTAAATAATTTTTAAATAAAAGAAACAACTCTTATCTACTTCTAAAATATTATTTTTTTTAAAAAGACTTATTAAAAAATATTTATTTTTTAAATTTAAACAAATAGATCTTCTATTTTTTGTAAAATATATACCAATTATGGATATGTTTGAGAATATACTTTTATAAAAATACTTTTAAAAGAGTAAGATAAGAAAGAAAAATGAAATAAATTTTTCTATAAACTAAAATTAGTTTATGTATAAGTTATTTTGTAAAAAATTTCATCCATTAATTTCCTTAAAATTTTATTTTTAATTTAGACATAAATTAGTTTTAACTTATGAAAAAGGTGTATAATGATTTTTCTTTTTATTTTTTTAGAAGTGCTTTTCAAAAAAATTTATCCAAACAAACCTATATGTAACTAAAAATTCATTTCATGTGTTTACTATCCTAAAATTTATAGTGTTTAATTTGTTTAATTTTAGAAATTTGAACATATGAAAAATTCAGCGAAAAAAAAATAACGCTCTAAACAAACATTAATACCTAATTAACAATATAGAAAACCTATTAATTAAAACATAAATACAATCATTTATGGCCAAAGGATAAGCACTCATGCTCAAACAAAGCTTGGATATAATATTATTTTACCCAAATTATGGTGTCCCTTCCAAGTCACAAGGAATAAGCAATGTTCACAAATTAAATAATCCAACTTGAACGATTCCTTCATATAATGATAAACATATTAACAAAATAAATGTCGTCAGATTATTAATTATTGGGAGAAAAAATTGAAGTATATTTCATTAAAATAAAATGATTTAATAGAGGTTAGGGTCAGTTCAATTTGATAAAAGAAAAGGAAATAATGTAATACTTACTTCTTCGAGGAAAATAGTGCACACAATATTTTGCTAATATATTTTTTTAATAGATGTTAACAATTTTTTTTTTTTAAAAAAGTTAAGTATCATATATATGAATTGAGAAATTCTACGGTACCTACTATAATTGTGGGGTACCGAAACGTTCATTTTATTTCTATTTTTTTTTATTGTAATTACTTGTTTTATTTAATATTTTTAATAATTTCTCTGTATAAATTTTTTTATATCTTTATATTATTTATATATTTTTTAATTTATATCTTAATGTAACATCTATTATAATTAAAAAGTTTAATATTAATATTTTGTTAATATGTTTTAGTTTTTCTTTGATGATAATTTTTTTTGAATTTATAGTATAAATTAGTTTTTCAGTTGTATTATTTGTTTTTTTATTTTAATTTTTTTTATAATATTATTATAATTTTTTGTTTTTAATTTTTTAATTTTGTTACATATAAACAAAATTTGTTATGAAAATTAACCTTTTGATTATTTTTTTTGAATTAGTCTTCTTGATTGATTCATCTTATACAAATTTTTAATCTAAAATTTATGTTATTTTAAATTTATTTTTTTAAAATTTATTTGTTCATATAATTTAATGTACCAAAATCCTTCAATTTTTATAGGTACCATAGCAGCTCCCATATGAATTTCTTAGGAGAGAGTACATGCATGTATCACACACATTTATTTTTCTTCTCTTGTCCTTTTTTATTTTGGCATTGTTTGTGAGGTGATGATTTTGGCTCAATAGTATTGATACAAACACATAAATATTGGCCTCAAGTGCATGGATTCAAACACATAAATATCAGGTTGCCGAAGATTCGTCAAAATTTTTACTTTCAATGTGTAGCTGTCATGGAAAATATGTATTTTAACACAAGGACAGAAAACAATGTAATACTTGAATCTTTGAGGGACAATAGTGTAAAGAATGCCACCATAAAAATCATGTTGCCAGCACTATAGCCTAAGAAAGTCTTGTTAAGGTTGCTCGATCTCCCTCCCTATAACTTCAATTTATTTTTTTCTGTTTTTGTCCAATCGTAATCTAGTTTCTAATGACGAAGTAGTCAACGACTAGTCTAGCACACACGCTTCTGCCTCAATGTCTCTTAATGGTTGTCCACGATGCTCTTATGGAAAACAACAATAGAAGGAAGACACATTTGACAACTAGAACATCCAATTAAACATTAAGCATAAGGAGTACATCCAAGCCGAAGATAATCCGACAAACTTCAGTAGTCATTGCATCAATGGGTAATTCTATAACTTGTATCTTTTACTCATCATTTGTCGGATTCTAGATCCCGAGTTCTTGTGCTTTCAATCACTTAGCAAGTAATTAATTCTTTACTTTTCTCAAAATTGTTACAACACAAAATATCTTATCATATTATCTCTACCGATGGTTCTAAAATTTAAGTCAAGGCATTGGTCAAGCCACAAATTTTCTTTCATTACCCCTTAATTTTGTTTTTGTTTTTTTCCCTAATATAACTAGAAGATCATTATTATTATTATCAATCGTCTTGCAACCAATAAAAGAACATGAAATATGTTGTAATCCAACTTCAATACATGTTCAATTACCTCAAAATATGACATATTCATATATGTGGAGATTGTCTTTGGCCAATGATATATGTATAGATTTAGCTACAAGCTAGTGATACTGTTATTTTACATAGTACTTTTATTTCCTGTTCTTCTGTATAAAATGTGTAGCAATCAATCATATAACCGTGTAAGAAAATATGTGTATACCTCAACAAATTTCTCATTACATTTTCTTTTGTATATATATTCTCATTGCATTATTATTTTTTTTAACAATAGTTTAGTTTCGTACAAGTGTATCTCCATGGGGAGTATTAGTCATGTCAATGAGGAAGAAAAAGAATAAGAAATTGAAGTTGTGTGTTAACAATTGTCATCTGAACAAGATCACGATTAAAAAGCAAGTATCCATTAATCATAAAGGACATGCCTTAATAAAATTCCCATTGCATATTGTTTGTTAGTTCTCCCAACCACTACGGTATTATAGAACACTTTGAATATCCAAAATTTGCCAAAAAAAACAGATTTTAGAATTTTTATGCACCTTAAGAACAAAGATTGAGCTCCCAATCCATTCCATTTTATAGAAAAGATGACATTATCGATTCTAATAGTTGTTGGAATTAACTCAACAACGCAGTAGCAGTTTGGTTTCTCCCGATCGAGTTCTGATGGAGGACAAAAGGAATAATGATGAGGGTGGGTCTTGTTGGCGAGGTGGTAGTGGCATACTGGCATATGATATGCAATGAGAATTGAGGAATTCTAGAAGTGTCCGAACATATAAAATCACAAAGGCACTTTAGTTTTAAGTAAGATTTTAGGATATGTTCTGCAAGGTCGAAAACTGTAGATGAGAAAAGTTTGAAATTTGAATTGAAAAGAGAGTAGAAGGAAGGGAAAATTGAATTTTTGTTTATAGATCAATTTTTTTTCTCTTTCTTTTTTATTTTACTTTCTCTCTTAGTAAATTAGGGTGACAAATGAATGAATATAAGATAATTTTTCAGATGAATCATAATGAATTGGATAAAACCAACCCATTGATTTATTAAAAATTCACATAAAAATCAAATTCATATCTAATCTATCTATGAACAATTTTTTTTAATAAATGAATATTCAATCTATCCATAAAAGTAATATTTTAGAAATTAAATATTTTTTTTATAAATATTTTGAAACATTCTTATACAATCTTTTAAAATTTATTAGATTTTTTTATTATGTAAAAATAATATTTTAAAATCTTAATCTAATAAATATCACATATTGTATTCTAATGAATTTTATTAAAAAATCAGTGAATGAATCATTAACCATCCATAAAATAAAATGAATAAATTGAATTTAATCTAATCTATTATTTATTTTTATTATAATAGATAAATTAAATTATGAATAAATTGGATGGATAATGGATAATTTGTCATCCTAAATAAACATAAGAAAATGTATAGTTATATATGTTTTATTTTCTCTTTATGTTGTTTACTTCCAATCAAGCTTATCATATAATTAATAATATTTTAGTTTAAGCCTTTTGATTTTATGCAATAGTTGAGAGTGATCATTCATATTCTCATATAACAATTAATCATTCTTACATTCTACCATGGTATCCTCATACAAACAACACTATCTATGCATTAATACATATAATAAAGAAAACATCTTCTTCTTTTATATACTCAATTTTGATTTAGAAACAAAAAAATTACTCACCAATTATCTTTATTTTTAATTTGATTTATTTTAAAATAAATATAGAAACATGTTATCTTAGTTAATTATTTTTTATCTATAATGATACACAAAGATGATATAATATTTTTACATACACATTAACTTTAAGATATTTTTATTTATCATGGTAACGTCACATCCTCAAGTTTTAGTATAGAAAAATTTAATTATTTTATTTTATTAATTTTTCCATAATCATAGTATCTAATATTCTATATATATCCACGCAAAAAGCATTTAGCGGTGCAAAGTTGAATGTACGAAAATGTACTGTAGAAAGCGCTTGGGGACCGGGACATATTAGACAATGTACAAAGATGGCGATTGTGGTTTTGGCGCTACACAGCGCACTCCTGGCGATTATTCGAAAGAAGCGCCATTTCCAAAAAAAGCAATTACGGTACGATCTACGGCATGCGTATTCGTAGTTCCACGCGTCAGCGTAGCAACGGTGGTCGGCACGACTTTCGAGGAACATATAAAATGAGCGAATCACCTCTCGGACACAATAATCTGATTGGGCCACGTGACACTTCAGAAAAACCGCTAGTGGTTTCGCTCGCCCCAACCAGAGCGGTTTCACTGCACCACCAAAAAGCGGTTTCATCACTTTCCTTATATAGCTAGCTCGTGCTTCTGATGCGCATTCAGCGCTTTGTCTGTTATAACCAACGCCTTCATCAGTAATCACTCTTTTTCTCTTTCTTTTCTTCTCTCTTCACCGTTTTTCTTTTCTCTTTTTGTTTTTTTTTTTCTTCCTTTTAAGATTCACTTACGTTCTCGGAAAATCAAATCGTTTTTCCTGCGTCACTATGTGGATCGACGCGTCTTCTCTCTTCCAACTACTGCGTCTTCTTTTGATTTTCGGCTTTTTCGCTTTCTTTTTATCTTCTTGAAATCGTCGAGTTGAAGTTTCGTTTCTCGATCTGTTTGCAGCGAAGTGATTTCGATCCGATTGTTAGGGTTTGGTATGGGGAGAGGAAAGATCGTGATAAGGAGGATCGACAATTCGACGAGTAGGCAAGTGACGTTCTCGAAGCGAAGGAACGGTTTGCTGAAGAAGGCGAAGGAGCTTGCGATCTTGTGTGATGCTGAAGTAGGAGTTATGATCTTCTCCAGCACTGGCAAACTCTACGATTTCGCTAGTTCCAGGTGCTTAGATTCATCCATCGATCTCTTTTCCATCGCTTTTCGTCGATTTGACTTTCAGATTTTCTGCTTCGATGTTGAATGCTGTTTGTGTGCTGTGTTTGTTCGTAACGACATTATGACTTCGTTGCCGAAGATGTTAGGCACAAACTCTGCATATAATATATTTGAAAATACATTGAGAAGCTCTCAAATGAACTTCGAAACTTGTATCTATATTTTCTTAGTTAATTAAATTATCAGTAAGGAGAGCACTTGGTTAGGTTAAAGATACAGATGGTTTTCAATTAGAGGAACGATTGCGTCCCGTGCTTACTCAAATGCATTTTTCAATATATATGTAGCAGTAGCACGATAGAGTTAGTACTATTGTTGGATTCTCCGGTTAGTAGCGAGTATTAATTAGTGGTTCCCTTTCTCTATAGTTTTTTTTGCTGGAGGTTTTAATCAATGTACAGGTGACAGGATAGTTAATTAATATTATAGTATAGTAATAAAAGCGATTATATAGTTGTGTTGAGTGAACTATCCGTGTTTTCTTCAAAGATGCAGTGGCTTTAGAAATTAGAACAGTTGTGTCGGATGAAAAAAATAGGGGCGCGTCCTAGTGTAGTACTCTTATTACTGTTCTGTAGAGGCCCACGCTAATTACTGGAAACCTAAGTTATGACCACAAGATGTTTATCGGTGAGATAATGAATCCGTTTTGTGGACGTGTTGATGAGAGTTGAATGAGCTCGCGCGTTTAGTGTAGTGGGTTTTTTTCAGTATGCCAGAGTTTGTTAGAGGAGAACTAAAAACGTGTATCTGGTGAGCTGAGAGTCGTTTACTGTTGTTGAACTTGAAGTTAAGGTGAACGGTGTGATTCTTTCCTCTGAAATTTGGTCGTATTTTTTTATCTGTAGAGGAATTTTACCATGTTATTTATTACTTATACATGCCAATATAAGCTTGTCTGGACATATGGGAATATATTTTTTAACACCGAATATGATAATATACACTTAGAAGAGAGAAAAATAAAAGAATGAATTGTGACGGATGTAATAGATTTATGATATAATAGGAGGAGAGAAGGAGGAAATGTAGGATATGATTGATGAATTTGAAATATTTAGGGTGCAAATATCATTACTCTTCTTTGATTTAGATTTACATTTACTATAGTGGAAAACCACCTATTAGCACGGGCAAGTTGGCTTCCATTTCCTATATATCCGGCTGTAATACCTCATACACTGCGTATAACCTTTTTTTTTTCGACATGTCATATATTCCATTAATATTTATTAATCCTTAAACTTTGAAAAAGAAAAACACACATGAAATTAATTAGTTTCTGATCTCTAAAAAAAAATTTAAAGAAAAATATTTAATTTCATATATTTTTTTAATTTGAAAATTAAATTCATCAATATAAAAATACAATGACCTTAATCACATCTAATTAAAGGTATATACATGAATTGAATTTTTTTTTTATTATTATCTCTTCTTTTTTTTCACATTATTTCTTCCTCTCTTATATCTTTCTCCCCCTAGATGTTAGAGTTAAGGTATCACAAATCATTTTATCTTTTCTTATATATATCAATACCCAAAATGTGAAACCTCATTTTTTTTTTCTTTTCTCTTCTCACCCATTAAGTCTATTGTTTCTCTACATTTCCATCTTTGCTAAAAGGATATGTGAAAAGAAAAAAATATTCGTTATGTATAGGAGTGAAAATAGACCGAAGAACTTTATCTACCTATATTTGATATCCATTTAAATATCCAAGACTTAAGTATGTAACTTATCATAAGATTTTTTAGGCCTATTTTATTATTTTTTGAAAATCTGACTTGACCAGTTGATTACTTAAATGCCTGTTTAATATAAAAGTTTTTAAGTAATTATGGTATATTCTCAAATTGACCAAAATGTAAAACAAACTGGAAATTAAGAAATAAGTTAATTAAATTTAATAAGGTTTGAGTTTAACTTGTTTATATTATATAGAGTTTAACAAAATCTCCATGATAATTTATTCATTAAAAGGATATTTTTCACAAACTTTTAAATAGGCTATAAATTTATCCTTCAGTAACTTTCTTTATTTTTATTATTATTATTATTATTTTATATTTCAACATGTTTAATATTTAAATAAATATAATAATATTATGATTATTTAATTAATATAATGATATATTATATTAATCTCATTTTAATATATTATATATAAAAAAATAATATAATACTAATATTACTAAAATATAATTTATATTTACTTAATTAGATCAACTTATTATATTTAAGATTCTTTGAGCTTAGAACCTGACTTTTGAACCAGATACGCTTTTATAAAATCTTTGAACAAGTTTAATTTTTTATTTTTAAATTTAACATAATCTAGTCTTATGTAGCTAGGCTAACTTGTAAACACTTGTCAAATAATCTTTACCTATTTTCGCCTCTAATTATGGATAACAGTAACACCCACCGAGTGCAATTGCAAAGTGGTTGGATGAATGACTTGTTGTAATTAAAACCAACTTATTGAGTAAGCACTTATCCCAAGTTCAAATAGGAAACTCATCATAATATAGTATTGGTCTAGACGAAACAACACTCGCTATTTTTTTTTATTTATTAATCCATAGGAGAAAACTCTCACCTTGCATGTTTGAGATCCATAGCGAAATTCGGTGCTATTCTCATGTGACTGTGTAAATTTGTGATTAGAATAATTTTAAACACCGTAAGTTAATATTAAATGTGTTTTTTAAGGATATATTAAATTAAATATATTTGTTTTTAATTAACACCGTAAGTTAATATTAAATTTGCATTTTTTCAATATTTTTTTTCTAACATTATTGCATTTTATTTTAGGTGAATTAAATTATAAAAAATGTATAAACTTCTACATAAAACAAAACTTCTAAACAATGTCTTTAGCATAATGCATCAAACAATAATTAATATATATATATATA